GTGTGGTTAATGTATGTAGTGTAAAATTTTGGGTGCAATCTGTGAATTCCCTTTTATGCAAAGCAATACAGTCAGCAGATTGTACCTGGTTCTAACAGATTAGCATCTGGTTCTAAAGGATTACTGCCTGGTTCTAGCAGATTAATGTCTGGTTGTAACAGATTAGTGTTTGGTTCTAGTAGATTAGTGTCTGGTTCTAGCAGATTAGTGCTTGGTTCTAGTAGATTAGTGTCTTTTTCTAGCAGATTAGTGTCTGGTTCTAACAGATTAGTGCCTGGTTCTAACAGATTATTGTCTGGTTCTAACAGATTAGGGTCAGGTTTTAGGAGCTTAATGACTGGTTCTAATGGATTAGTGTCTGGTTCTAGCAAATTAATGTCTGGTTCTAATGGATTAGTGTCTGGTTCTAGCAGATAAGTGTCTGGTTCTAGCAGATTAGTGCTTGGTTCTAGTAGATTAGTGTCTGGTTCTAGCAGATTAGTGTCTGGTTCTAACAGATTAGTGTCTGGTTCCAATGGATTAGTGTCTGGTTCTAGCAAATTAATGTCTGGTTCTAATGGATTAGTGCTTGGTTCTAAAGGATTATTGTCTGGTTCTAACAGATTAGTGCTTGGTTCTAATGGATTAGTGTCTGGTTCTAGCAGATTAGTGCTTGGTTCTAAAGGATTATTGTCTGGTTCTAGCAGATTAATGTCTGGTTCTAGCAGATTAATGTCTGGTTCTAATGGATTAGTGTCTGGTTCTAGCAGATTAGTGTCTGGTTCTAGTAGATTAATGTCTGGTTCTAATGGATTAGTGTCTGGTTCTAGCAGATTAGTGCTTGGTTCTAAAGGATTAGTGTCTGGTTCTAGCAGATTAATGCTTGGTTCTAGCAAATGAATGCCTGGTTATAGCAGATTAATCTCACTTTGTCTGAGAATCACCTTGAATCCAGTCTTTTGGAGTTAGATGAGTTAGATCATGCTGCTCTCTTCTAGATTTCCATCTGTGCTTGGTGTTTTTTCTTTTTTGTCACAGGTAGCTACTTTGCTGCCCTTAATGATGCCAGACCTTCCGCCAAAAGTCTGAACATGTTTTTTCAGTCATGGTAAGCCGACCTCACACCTCAGTTCTCTTTAATTAGATGGCACTTGCACTTGCTGAGGTTTCTCTGGCTGTCTAAAGCTTTGATCAAAGAAGTCACGGAAGATTTGATCAGTCTTTGACTTTCGTGTCCGCTCACTTGCAGTCCTTGCCTCAATTTCCCTTTTGATGCAATGCAACAACACATTTTTTTGACAAATGACGAATGACTTAAGCACCACACTCTCTAAGAAAACATTCAGCTATTCTAGTTCTATCAAAATGACAGAATTACAAACTCTAGAGTAACTCCAACAGGCAGAGTCACAACTTTACATTAAACTACATCTGATAACACTGAAATTCAAGCAAAAATCTTACCTAAAAAAAAATCATATTCATTTTTCTTTGTTCACCACTGGCAGTGGTGATTTGAGAAGGTGAAGCACAACAATGGAGCATTATTAATGCATGGAAAAAAAGTCATCTGATGGTTAAACATTAAATAGGCTTGGTTGTTACAATACACATTTGATCCAAATCCAACAATCAGTTTTTTTTTTATTTAAAAAATGTAATAATATATATTTACAAACAAATATTTATGGATTCCTTTTTATATATGTATACTTAGAATGTATTGGCTGGAGAGAAAAAAGTGGAGCTGAAGTCTCCCTGCCTGTTTCTCAATTAGATTAACAGTATTAATAGGGGTTAAATAAATGTGCAAAAACGGGATGATTAGAGCTAATTTCTGTTTTTTTCACTACAACAATAAAGTCGTAATTTATTATAATGTATTTCAACTTGTTTGACTTTAAATGAAGAACTTTAAATGTCCTAAAAATAGAGAGCATCGTGCTAGTAGAGCTATTTTCAGTGCACGCGTGGCGCCATCTACAGGAGAAACAATGTAAATGCCTATTCAAGTTGTAGAACTACAAATCCCATCAAGCACATAACTTCGTCTGCTTCCGTAAAGCTGTGTTTTTTTCCTGATAAGCTTTGAATGACGGCGTGCTTCAGCTATGGAGGCTAAATCTGTGAAAGCGATCCTGTTTGATTTGGACAACACGCTGATAGAAACCAGTGGAGCTGGAGAAGTGGCTCTACAGAAGGTGATAATGGCGGAAGCTTCCTGCTGGCGGAAAATAAGCGGGTTTGAAACTGATGCTTGTTGGTTCAGCTAGGATTGTAAATAACCCGAGTTATTATTTTGTTTTAAATCAATTTAACTCGCAGGGTTTTGTGTTTAATTAAACAATAGACATAAATAATTAGCTGAAGCTGAAGATAAGTGAACGGTGATTGGTCTCCGCTTCATAACAGTCAGCCGGCGCAGGACTCGGATGAAAGTAATGGACGGTGGCGAGGGAGGAGTTAACCACCTGGAAAACTCTCTCTTTCCTTGGACGGGTGGTGATAATTTGTTAATACAACAAAAATATGCATATCAACACTATTTTAACCGAAGTATTGATCAGGGGCGGAGCTAGATGGGGGCCAGGGCCTTAGTCAATCATTGGTCACCCCCACCATTTATTTCCCTCTAATACAGATGGTGGCAACAGTAATAATCTCAAGTGGAATATTCAAAATATTTAAATTTTCCATATATTAACAATTACGTGAAAACAAAAACACCGTGGTTAATGATGCACATCAATATACTAACATTAAAGATGATGAGTACAGAAGTCCTGCTCTTTGCAGAACTAGATTTTGTGTTTTATGGAGTAAAGAGGAAATTACGTGTCTCTGTAAGTCATCTAGGAGTCTTCAGGGAACTCATAAATAACTATTTTAATAAAACATATAATAAAAAATCAATTTATGTAGATATTACTACACGTAAATATAAATTTTATGCAGAATGATTACTGATAAAAGTGAGTAATGACAATGGAAAAGATGTTCACCCAAAACTCAATCCAGAAAGAATTTTATCCACTATACCTTTTATCTCGAAAGCACGGATGTTTGAATATATTTGCCTATTTGTTAGCAAAGACTGTGGTAAAGTATATGGATTTTCCTGTTGGAACAGTAGATTCTGGTGCCCATCCACTTTCGCCCCCCCCTTCAGTGTATGTTGTTTATTGCCTGGCCACCCTTATAAAAATTTTCTGGCTACGCCTCTGGTGATGATATGCATTTTGGTAAGATTTTCTGAAAAGTTAAAAATGTAATTTAAAAAAAGAAAACATTATTCTGGAGACTTTCCCCCGGCTGCTCCCAAAAAGCTCAATGCAGAATTTTTAATGTTCTTTTAACCATTTATAGAGAACTCAGTGAAATACTTTGAAAATAAAATGTTCAAGCCAATAGTGTTATTGGAATCCAGGAAAATACCTTATTACCTTCGCAACATTAAAAAATAAGGATATTTTGATGGCAAAAATCAATGCCAATGTAATAACAAGAAACAACAACTTATATTAAATATATTAAGAAAAATAACATAATTGCTCCTATAAGAAATTCATAAAATACACTGAAAGAAATCTTTTTTTTTGGTACAACATAACCTTAGAGGCAGTAATGCTGATACTGGTTTACGTTTCAATTAACTTTTTTCCCCAACTTAATTTACAGTAGGTAATATATCATCCAAGGGCTCATCTAATTGGTCGCAGCATCTTTGCTGAACGGTTGGATATAGATCTTGTGCTTCTAGACCTCACTGAGGGATGCGGGGGGTGGGAGACTTCATTTATAAGTGATAAAAAACACTAACCTGCCCTATAAAGGGTTAAATAGACTATTTTTTTTCTAAATGTCCCTTCTGAGGGATAAAATGGATATTACTAGGGTACATTGTGTTCTCTGCCTTCCTTTTTGATTGAACATTTATGTGGTCTCCACTTATCTGACACTTATGGCTGAATAAAGTCATTGGAGAAAGATTTTATTTTTATTTTTTGGTCTTATTGTCATTACAACGAGCAACAAAATTTTCTCTGCATTTAAGCCATTGGGAAGCAGTGGGCTGCCATTGTGTGGCCCTCGTGGAGCAGTTCGGGGCTAATGGTCTTTGCTCAGGAAGTGGCATGCCATGGCCTAACTACTAGGCCGCCACTCGGGACAGGTGACTTATCACTTGAGCTAGCCATTTTTTTAAGGCTGCCAGCTAATGTGCCCCACCAGAGGAGCAGTCTTGGATCAAGGGTCAGGCTCAAGGACCCTCAAAGGCAATCGGTGGGGCTCAAACTCAGAACCTCAGGATTCAAAGCTCTACGTACCAACCACTAGGCCACCACCTCCCCAGTTATTAAAAAAAAAATTATTTGTTTGCAGCAAAACTACTTTGCTGCAGAAAACATAGGAAAATTTTCACCCCCACTGTGAAACATGCTGGTTTGACACTGAAAAAAATCACAATTCGAGAAATTACAATAAACTTTATGGTTATAACATAGAGAATTTAAGCTGATTTATTTTAATATAGTCTGGTTTATGACAGGTTGTCATTTTAGCTGACTTTTAATCTTCTGCATGTGAACTTTTACAGACCAGGGAGCTTCTGAAGTCCAAACTGAGCCTGGATGACGATGCAATCTGCAGCATTTTCGACAAATTCAAGCTGAAGCTGCTGCATGAGAGTTCTGATCGGTTACCCGGAACCTCCCAAGATGACGTCCGCGTCTGCCACTGGGAGGAAAGCATAGCAGAGACTATAGGAAGGTGCTCCATATCCGACCTGGCTTCTCAGTGCTACTATATGTGGAAGAACAGTCGGCTGGAGGTCCTGTGCCTCACCCCTGAGGTGCGCAGCCTTCTGAAGCAACTCCGCAGCCGATACAAGCTGCTGCTGCTCACCAACGGGGACGCTCAGACTCAGAGGGAAAAGGTGGAGGCGGTCAAGTGCGAGGAGTTCTTTGATGCTGTAGTGATCGCCGGAGATCACGCCGAGCAGAAACCCTTCCCGTCCATCTTCCAGCTGTGTTTCGACCAGCTGGAGGTGGAGGCGCAGGAGTGCGTCATGGTGGGGGACAATCTGGACACAGACATCCAGGGGGGCTTTAACGCTGGGGTTCGGGCCACCGTGTGGATTCACAGAGCAGAGAGGACCAGCTTAGACGGTCCAGTCAAACCAGACTACACCATCCCTACTGTTCTGGACCTGCCGGGTATCCTGGCACAGCTGCAGTAATTTAGAGGATTCTAATATTTCTCTAGATTTGTTTACAGAGGTTTTATACTGCATTACCAACTTTTTGTGTGTTTATTTTAGAAGAAACTTCATGGAGGAAGTGTGAATGTTGTTATTGTCACCAGGGGGCGTATTTCATTTTCAGTTTTGATTGTTTGAAGGGGGTTGGTATTATTTAAAGTCAAACAGGATTCTTCAGCTGTTAATGAGAGGAGGGAACAATTTTCTACTGGGTTTGGTTTGGATTAATGTTGAATTTATGCATTTATTTAAAGACAATTATTCAAACTATGGAAATTATGTTAATAAATGAATTTATTAGAAGTCAAAGTTCGAGCCTGAACGCCTTCAGGAATAGCAGCCAGTAGCTAAAATATAGGATTTTAGCCACTATATTTAGCATTACATAAAGTATAAATTATTTTGCTATGAAATTATTGAGGATGCAGTCAGAGGTTTACAGATCAGATTGGGCTTTTTAACGGTTTATTTGTTCTTGTTTGAGGGTTAAACGGTTATAATGCTGAATAAAAATGTCAAGAACAGACTCTAAGAGTTTTTATTCTAATTTTCCATGGATCTTTTGGTAGTTTATTTATTCTTGTTTGTTTTCAGACCAGAATATTAAGGTGGGGTTTCCAGGAGATTAATGGCGGCCTAAGGTGTATTTAACCGATATAATATGCTGGAGAAAAGTCACAATGAAGGAGGTGGGTGACCGAAGTCTGATAACTGTAAATAAAAACTAGATAAAACTGCACCTATGGGTTAATAATCAATTATTAAATATATTTTCTATATTTATAAAAAAAAATATTTTAGTAAATTAAGATTTCTCAATCAATATCTGTAATATAAAACCCTTTATTGCACATTTTAACCCATGTGTGGTTTTCATAGTTATTGTTTTTGTTGGACCCATTTTGTGGTTTTTATTGCCTCATCAAAAATCATCTCAATTTCGTCATGTAAACAAAATATATGGTTATTTAACTTATAGATCATATTTATAACCTTGTATTCACACCTAATTGTTTTATATATACCTTAATAATACTGTAAATATGTTATCTTTCAGCAAACTTCATGTCTTTAAAGTCTGTGTACCAATTATCTAGGTGATTATAATCGATTACCAAATTAGTTGACAATTATTTCAATGATTGATTAATCCTGTTATTCATTTTAAAAATACAGGGCCACAACATAAAAAAAAAAATGAAATCAATGCTTCTACTGACGGCATTAAAGAGTCAAATATACAAAATAAATGCAATAAAATTACCTGAAATTATTTTAATGCCATATTTTAGAGGTTAATGAGTTTCCCAGATGTTAAACATTGAATTATTTGTTGAGAAAGTGATTAAATATTAGAATTAGCTTTAAATATTAAAGATAAAAATAATTTGTCTTTAAGATTTTGATTAAAGATTCAACATGTATATTTAGACTTGAGATTCAGCATGTTCAGAAATGAGATTTTTACATAATAAAAATAAATGCAAGATTTGAATATGCATTTAAGATTTATATATTATTACATAGCGATGTGTAAATACATTTAACTTAATATATTTAGGATAAGATTCAAGATTTATATTTAGCATTTGCTGTGGCACTAATGTGAAAATATAACCATATTTTTTGTATTGAATACTGAAACCCTACATATGAAACGTTACAATTTTAGTTTTAATTGGTAATTTGCAGCATTTTTTCCAGAAATGCTCTTTTATTTAGTTTTTCTGTGCAAATTCTCAGTCATTGTGATTTAAGATGTTTTTCGTGAGCATTTACATAAACTAAACTGAGCAATATTTAGTTTTCAGGCTGTTTCTTTTTTCCCAGGTATGTTGTCAGGTTTGATGTTCCTTTAGATAAACTGAACCATACTGCTCCACGTGTGAAAGTAAAATCTGTTGGGCTCTTTTTGGCATCAAGACAATTATTCTTATTGCCACATTGCCAGACAGGACACTGTATAAAAAAAAAAAAAAAGATAAACTGAAAAATAACGTTTCAGTTTATTTTGGTGAGCTTTGGTTCTTCTGCATCTTATTGTGGATTCAAAATGTCTGCATAGGCTCTGCACACTTTCATGCAACCTTCAGGTTGATGCATGCAGATCTTTACATAAAACATGCAGTTTTAAAGAAAATGTTGCTCAGCAGGCGTCATTGTGCATCAACAAGCTTTACTAATGAGGCGAAGCATTATGCTGTACCTAGAGGTGACGGGTGGCACAACAATGGGTCTCAGGATCTCGTCTACCTGTTGTGCCTTCGAAAAGCCATGAATATAATCACCTGCGTCCAAAACACCTGCCCATACCATAACCCATCGGCAACCATGAGGCTCAATCCACAATGTTGAAATCAGCAAAATGCAATTTGCTCTTTTCAATCCACAACTAACTTCATCCAGGAGAAGAAAATCCCTCCATAAAGCCCCATCATCAAAGGTGAGCACTTAATGACTCCATGCGATGGTTTGCAGAAATGCTTTGATATGCAGCAGCGTTTCAGGTGGCTGGAGGCAGATGATCTTGAAGGTCACCATGCTGGATGTGGAGGTCCTTGGATTAGGGTGCTTACATACAGCCTGAAACAAAAACTTTTGGAGATGGCACCCTGTAGAAAAAATAATCTAGTTCTCTGAAAGAGATTCCTGCTGGCAAAACCTGTGACAGATGTGTGTCATGGCGCTGTATGATAATGAAGCACATTATAGTAGCCTTTTCATTGCAGTCAGCATGGGGCACAGGGCTATACAGCAATATTTGAGAAGAAAAAAAGCCATTTTTACTGTGTAAACTGTAGAACAAGTCCAGATCTTTGGGTTATCATCATAAGAAATGCAGAAACAACAAAATTGAGTTTGTTAAAATTGTTATTTTACATGGATCACCTTTTTAAAACACATAGCAGCACAATGGTCTCTTCTTTGGGGTCAGGATGAGAGTAAAATCTTTGTTTTGAGAAAAATACGTAAGTCTAAACATTTTCTTCCACAGTCATTTTTATTTTTTGCAAACTTGTTCAAACGATAAAACTTACTGTTAGCATATGGAAAAAAAAAAAATTTGGACTAATATTGGCGTCTCTTCCTTGTATTATCATCATCAGCCGATCCATTTACGTTCTGGCCGATACGTTGGTGCATTAAGCAGCCAGACCCTGAGAGCATTCTGTTTGGTTTGTTAATAAATGGCGTTTTGTGATTGTGATGATTGTTCCTTATGTTCCTAACA